TTTTTCTGCTACCTAACCTAACCTAACCTATAAAGATAGGTTAGGTTAGGTTAGGTAGGGTTGGTTAGGTTCGGTCATATACAGTATCTACGTTATTTTTACCTACAATAAAAAAAATTAACCTCATACATAATGAAATGGGTAGCTTTATCATTTCAAAAGAAAAAAATTAGAGAAAATATAATAATTCAGGAAAACTTGGCTTAGTAGGCAAATCGGGCCTTGCATAGTAGGCTGAGAAGTGCGTTTTTGGCTACTTGGTACGACATATATACATATATATATATATATATATAATATATATATATATATATATATATATATATATATATATATATATATATATATATATATATATATATATATATATATATATATATATATATATATATATATAGCAGGTTTTCTTTCAAACATGTTTCATTGAATATGACCGCATATTCTGTATTTATTATTTTCTGGTTTAGGGCTTCTATCCCTCTAACTATTTTCTTAGCATCAGGGCTTAATTGAAATAGGAGTTCTCCAAAACTCATTTTCGTACTTTTAAGGTGAAGAAAAGAAGTGATTTACTATAGAGTGTATTACACTTATTTGTATAATTTGCACGACGTTTCGAACCTCCATGGTTCATTCTCAAGTGAACAGATCTTACAATACTAGTTGATTTTATACCCGCATTAGGTCAGGTGATAATACAATGAAGGTGAAAACATGGGGGGAATACATAAGGGATAAACATAGGGGCTGCAGAAGGCTTATTGGCCCATACGAGGCATCTCCTATCTAAACACAAAGATTAATCCAGTGTAATTGGCCTGTTATGTTGGACATTGTCTTCTGTGTTGGCATCGATATGTTCTTGTCTTGTCCTTACTAAGGACAAAATATGCACTTCTTGTCTTGTCCTTATACTCTATAGAGTATATTAGTAAGGACAAGACAAGAAGAACATATCGATGCCAACACAGAAGACAATGTCCAACATAACAGGCCAATTACACTGGATTAATCTTTGTGTTTAGATAGGAGATGCCTCGTATGGGCCAATAAGCCTTCTGCAGCCCCTATGTTTATCCCTTATGTATCCCCCCATGTTTTCACCTTCATTGTATTATCACCTGACCTAATGCGGGTATAAAATCAACTAGTATTGTAAGATCTGTTCACTTGAGAATGAACCATGGAGGTTCGAAACGTCGTGCAAATTATACAAAGAAGTGTAATACACTCTATAGTAAATCACTTCTTTTCTTCACCTTAAAAGTACGAAAATGAGTTTTGGAGAACTCCTATTTCAATTAAGCCCTGATGCTAAGAAAATAGTTAGAGGGATAGAAGCCCTAAACCAGAAAATAATAAATACAGAATATGCGGTCATATTCAATGAAACATGTTTGAAAGAAAACCTGCTGCCAGTATACACCAATATATATATATATATATATATATATATATATATATATATATATATATATATATATATATATATATATATATATATATATATATATATATATATATATATATGACAATGTCAGACCACGGAGGAAAATGAAACAGGAATTTCCTTAAGTACTTTCGTATATTAAATACATCTTCAGAAGGAATGATTTTACAGATCGAGTGATGGGTATAAATAGGCAGGAGAGAGTGGTGAAGTAAGGGAGGTACAATACTTGGACAACGCAGACGGCTCATTGGCCCATCAGATGCACCCAATTGGCCCATGCGATGTAGCCCAATGGCCCATCTGATACAGCAGACATACAAGCACAATACATAGGTAATTATAACATAAAGAGGTAAATATATACAATGAATTAGTGAGACAAATGTTTTCCAATGATCCTACTTAAATCGCCCTTTAGCTGATCTGTTAGAAATGGATCTAAGTTATATAGACCACTGCTAATATTCAAATTACTTTCTTTGGTGATCTGTATCAAAGCAGATTCAATGATTTTTCTGTTATAGGTGCTTTTACAATTTGTTATTGAAGAAGCACTCTCCCAATCAATTTGGTGAGCTTTTTCTGACAAATGAACAAACAAAGCATTAGACAATTGGCCATGTCTTACAGAATATTTATGTTGCGATATTCTACATTTTAAATCTTTAGATGTTTGCCCGACATAGAACTTATTACATTCCTTACAAGGTATTTTATAAATGACGCAATTATCACTACGAGGGCTGTTCCTAACTAATAGCTTACCAACAGTGTTTTCGTAGCTAAACATTACATCTATATTAAAAAGTTTCAAGGCCTTAACAATATTCTCAAACCCAGAGAAATATGGTAAACATAACACATTCTTTGGGCTGTGTCACACCTTATGTCCAGCAGTGTGTGTCACACACCTTATGTCCAGCAGTGTGTGTCACACTAATTCTTAGTTTAAAGTGTGTCCAGCAGTGTGTCACATCTTATGTCCAGCGGTGTGTGTCACATCTTATGTCCAGCAGTGTGTGTCACACCTTATGTCCAGCAGTGTGTGTCACATCTTATGTCCAGCAGTGTGTGTCACACCTTATGTCCAACAGTGTCGGAAGTGTCACACCTTATGTCCACACAGTGTGTAGGAGTGTGTGTCATGTCCAGCAGTGTGTGTCACACCTTATGTCCAGCAGTGTGTGTCACACCTTATGTCCAGCGGTGTGTGTCACATCTTATGTCCAGCAGTGTGTGTCACACCTTATGTCCAGCAGTGTGTGTCACACCTTATGTCCAGCAGTGTGTGTCACACCTTATGTCCAGCAGTGTGTGTCACACCTTATGTCCAGCAGTGTGTGTCACACCTTATGTCCAGCAGTGTGTGTCACATCTTATGTCCAGCAGTGTGTGTCACACCTTATGTCCAGCAGTGTGTCACATCTTATGTCCTGTACACCATATGTGCAGGATATATCGTTATGTCACACCATATGTGCAACAAAACATGCTACACCATATGTGTAACAAGACATGCCACACCATATGTGTAACAAGGCATGCCACACCATATGTGCAGCAAGACATGCCAGACCATATGTGCAACAAGACAAGTCACACCATATGTGCAACAAGACAAGTCACACCATATGTGTAGCAAGGCATGCCACACCCTATGTGCAGCAAGGCACGCCACACCATATGTGCAACAAGGCACGCCACACCATATGTGCAACAAGACTTGCCACACCATATGTGCAGCAAGGCACGTCACACCATATGTGCAGCAAGGCACGTCACACCATATGTGCAGCAAGGCACGTCACACCATATGTGCAGCAAGGCACGTCACACCATATGTGCAGCAAGGCACGTCACACCATATGTGCAGCAAGGCACGTCACACCATATGTGCAGCAAGGCACGCCACACCATATGTGCAGCAAGGCACGCCACACCATATGTGCATCAAGGCATGCCACACCATATGTGCATCAAAGCATGCCACACCATATGTGTAGCAATACATGTCACACCATATGTGCAGTATGACATGTCACACCATATGTGCAGTATGACATGTCACTCTATGTGTGAAGCAGTATGTGTGACACCTTACGACCATCTATATGTGTCACACCTTATGTCCAGCAGGGCGTCTAACACCCTATAATTATCAGTATGTGTCACTCCCTTGTAGTAATTATTAATTAGTTACTATTATTATAATAACTATATTAATATTGTTGTAATTACTAATTTACTCCTTCTTCTGTTTGGTCATGAAGAAAGTCGGCCTCGGGTGAATGGAATGGAATTATCAGGAGAAAGCGCAAAGCTATTATGAATATATAGCACTTGGAACGGGATCAAGATAAGGATTTGGGATTTGGGGCGGGGAAGGAATGGGTGAAAGATCAACCCGTCCTCCTAAAAATAACGTCACTTTTGGCTGGTATGCGCGCTATGGCCAAATTTGGACGTAATTTGAAATGAAATCGACTCACAAAAGTGACGTACTGTTCCGTTTTCTGTTTGGGTCGTCCGGCTTACTCGGCAATGTTAGTAAAGACAACTTTCCATTAATGTTTTTCATAACGGTTTGAAACTTTATGAGAATTTCCTGCCCACCTAACCTATCAGAGGACCCTTAACTTACTGTTGTTAAAAAAAAAAATCCCAAATTTATTTTCATTTTTTTTCATTTTCAAATTACGTCCATATTCGGTCATACGGGTAAACGGCCAAAAGCGACGTTCTTTTTAAGAGGACAGGTTGAAGCCGAAATCTCTGTCTGGAACCCGTAGGAGCGGGACCGGGACGTCCACCTCCTGGGGCTCGTGCGGCCCAGGCTCTGCTTCAGGAGGCTGGGGTCCTTCGTTCGGCATCAAGGCATGCCACACAATATAAGAACCCACCCCTTGATGGGGTGGTTCTTCTCCGGCCTCGTCCTCGGCGGTCTCCAGGTCTGTAGTTCCTGTGCCTTCTTTTACCAATTTCGAGATAATCTCCGGAGCTGGAGCCCCTCGGGCAGTTCGTTGTTGCCTTCAGCCTAGTTCTGACAGTTCCTGCGATGGCGCTGGAACCAATCGTATTGGAGTTTGCCTTTCCATTGGAAACTTTCGGTGCCGTGGAGAGGGGGGGTGGACCTGCTGCATTGGTGACAGCTTCTCCTCAATATCAACCTACCTTGGATTGGCGCCTTGGAGAGGCAACCCCAGGCCGACAACCAAAGCGCAACTCTATTCTCTCCTATGACTGATGGATGTCTACTACAGTCACACCCTTTGACAACCAGTATGTGTCACACCCTACGACCTGCAGTATGCGCCACGCCAAATGTCTAGCAGTGTCACACCCTACGACCAGCAGGATGTGCCACACCCTATGTCTAGCAGTGTCACACCCTACAAAAAGCAGTATGCGCCACACCCTATGCTTAGCAGTGTCACACCCTACGACCAGCAGTATGCGCCACACACTATGTCTAGCAGTGTCACACCCTACGACCAGCAATATGCGCCACACCCTATGCCTAGCAGTGTCACACCCTACAAAAAGCAGTATGCGTTACACCCTATGCCTAGCAATGTCACACCCTACGACCAACAGTATGCGCCACACCCTATACCTAGCAGTGCCACACCCTATGACCAGCAGTGTCACACCCTACAAAAAGCAGTATGCGCCACACCCTATGCCTAGCAGTGTCACACCCTACGACCAGCAGTATGCGCCACACCCAATGTCTAGCAGTGTCACACCCTACGACCTGCAGTATGCGCCACACCCTATGTCTAGCAGTGTCACACCTTACGACCTGCAGTATGCGCCACACCCTATGCCTAGCAGTGTCACACCCAACGACCAGCAGTATGTGCCACACCCTATGCCTAGCAGTGTCACACCCTACGACCTTCAGTATGCGCCACACCCTATGCCTAGCAGTGTCACACCCTACGACCTGCAGTATGCGCCACACCCTATGCCTAGCAGTGTCACACCCTACGACCTGCAGTATGCGCCACACCCTATGCCTAGCAGTGTCACACCCAACGACCAGCAGTATGTGCCACACCCTATGCCTAGCAGTGTCACACCCAACGACCAGCAGTATGCGCCACACCCTATGCCTAGCAGTCTCACACCCTACGACCTGCAGTATGCGCCACACCCTATGCCTAGCAGTGTCACACCCTACGACCTGCAGTATGCGCCACACCCTATGCCTAGCAGTGTCACACCCTACGACCTGCAGTATGCGCCACACCCTATGCCTAGCAGTGTCACACCCTACGACCAGCATTATGAGCCACACCCGATGCCTGGGAGTGTCACACCCTATAATCAGCACTACGTGTAGTATTCAATGATCTGCAACATTGATCCCACTTAAACCGGAAGGATTTTTCCTCTATTTCTTTGATATTGATCTGCTTCCGGTATACCACTTGGGCTGGACGATAGAGCGACGGTCTCTCTTCATGCAGGTTGGCGTTTAGTTCCTGACCGTGAAAGTGGTTGGTCACCATTCCTTAATCCCCCACCCCTCGTCCCTTCCCAAATCCTTATCCTGATCCCCTGTAAGTGCTGTATAGTTCTAATAGCTTGACGGTTTTTCCTGATAGTGTTCTTTCCCCTTCCTCTTCCAGTATTTCAACCATGAAATAAGGTCAACTGTACAAAAACCAAATTCTTGTGCTAAAATTGTATTATTTGAGTCTCAAATTGGATATCGCTAATTGGTTCACCAATTACTTGGGTTGGCTTTTGAAAGCCAGCCGACCTCAAAACTTTGACGACAAGCTGTTCAATCCATCACGAATGAACCATGAATTCAAGTGAATGACATCTAATTTTCATCGCATTTATCACGAAAAGTTCTCGATTCTTTTCTCAATTATGAAGATAAATTATATAAAGACTTCACCGACGCATTTTAAGTGCAAAGTAAAGTATTTATCAGGCGAAAGCGCTTAACTCTTATAAATATAGTTAATCTAAGTTCAAATAATTGCATTACTCTCCATAAAATTATTAAATGGAAAGGACACTATCAGGGGGGGAAAGCGTCTATTCGTTACGGCTATATAGCACTTCGTGAGGATCAGGGATAAGGATTAGGGATAGGATGGGGTTGGGTGGGAAGGGGGGGGGGGCAGGAATTAAACCAATAAATATACTAATAATAATGTGTATCTCTTTGTTTGTGTATGTTTGCACAATAGGAAAGAATATATACGTACCAATATGCTGGCTTCAGGACGGGCGCACCTTGGCCCAGTATGGTGTAAAGATAGGAGGCTTCGTGTTATCATGAAGCCAGTTACTTTCATTAGTCATTCTGAAATCAAATATTAATCCCGGAATCTGTCTCATTTTACTGAATTTCTATATTCCCCCCCCCCCCCATCCACCTTTCCCCCCACTATAAACCACGGCTTTGCACAGCCTGCAAGATTTCAACTCCAACACCTTTCACCCCGACCCTGACTTTTCAACACTCTCCCATGCAATAATGAAATGCAAACAGTCGTAGTTTGCAGAAAATTCCTGTAGGTCAATATGTATTGACTTTGATACTCCGCGCCCCTCTCACACAAATAATTATTACGTTTATGCTTAATGTTATCAAAGCCCAACCCGGCTGGAGAGAACAAAGGTTCGTTTGAGGTGGGAGTATGGTTGACTATTCATACAAATGTATATACACCCTATGTTTAAGGTCTTGTATGATACACATGTTTGTGTGTATGTGTGTGTGAAACGTGCTGGAGACATATATGTTTAGAATGACAAGTGGTGTTTATATTGACTGAAATACTAGGTGGGGTATTATGCTGAGCATGGGTCTCTCAACCAACCGCCCACCCCTCCCACACACCCTCCTCTCTCTGTCACTCCCCACACACACCCATCTCTCTGTCACCACACTCCCCCACCAACACGCCCCTCTCTCTCTCTCTCTCTATCATCCCCTCCTCCACCCACACACCTCTCTCTCTGTCACCCTCCACACACCCGTCTCTCTTTTACCCCTCTCCCACCTACAAACCCCCCCTCCTCTCTTTCTATCACCCCCTCCTCCACCCACACATACCTCTCTCTGTTTCCCCCACACACCTGTCTCTCTTTTACTCCCCCTCCCCCACCGACACACCCCTATCTCTCTCTCTATCACCCTCTCTTTCACCCACACATCCCTCTCTCTGTCACCCCCCCCCCCATCCTCATTTAGCTTTCCTATTTCCCCTTTCTTTCCATCTTTCCAGCACTCCCTTCACCACCTTCCCTACCACTCGTCGCCTTCCTTACCCTTTACCATCATCCCTACCCTTCATTACCTTCCCTACCATTCACCACCTTCCCCTACCCAACACTACCTTCCCCTACCCTTCACTACTTTCCCAATCACTAATCAACTTTCCTACCTTTCACCCCCATCTCTACTCCTGACCACTTGCTCTTTATTCCTTTCACAATTTTCACTAAATACCATCCTTACTGAAATTCATATAGTATATTAATTTTGTTTCTGTTTTGTTGTTAAAGATTAGCTACTTGGAACAAAAAGTTCCAAGTAACACGGGCTATGGTGAGCCCGTAGTTTTCTTGTGTTTAATAGAAGTTAATATTATGCTAGATGAATTTTAGGGAGGATATAGTCATTTAATATGCTCTCTATGCTCTCTATCACATTCATCACTCCCTACCCTATTTCACTCTACCCCCCTCTCATATCTATCAATATTCACCTCTTTCTTCCTGTTTTTCTAATAATACCTTCACCACCTTCGATCCAAGATGGATTTTAATGTGGATGTAATTTTTTTGTTTAGCAAGATTGGAAATTAGTGGAATTTGTCATCTGATGTAATGGGATCTTGAGGCTCAACCATAACCCCCCTATGTACTGTTTTAATCCAGACCATTCACCCTGCAAAGTTCGTGAGGTTAGCTCTAAGCGTCTTACACTCTACTTTGGACAAACTTTGTCTCATATAGGTATAGATATAAAACAAAGTGGCTTCATTTGTCTACCCACTAATTGATTTGATGACTGCTGCTGCAATTACTGACTAATCGATGATATGAGAGTGTTAATAGTGGTGATTGTAATAACGTCTTCATTATTAACGCAGACTGATCGATAACATAACTGTGTCGGTGTTCCTGTTAACAGGTTACTGGGTTACTTATCTGTGACTGACCGTGCGTGGTTGCTTACGTGCGACTGGTGCCTTATCATACCAGCAGTCCACATTAAGGCCACAGCCATTTTTGACCCGAATACTAACTCGTATCAGCAAATAGGACTGCCAGAGACAATCTTAATTTCAGAAAGCATGTATAATTTAGGGTAATGTGAATGTTATCATTCACATTACTTTTTCTTTATTTTTTTTTCTTTAATTTTTGAAGAATGTTCTAATATAAGAAGACGGCGATTGGCTATGTCATCGTAAGATTCTTGAGCACTATTCAAGTTACGTGACCTTCCACAATCATGAGTTCCGTGAGATGGTCAGCAAGAAGGATGAGTGTGGAAGCGCTCTTAATTCTGGCAAGTGGAGCATCCGACGTTTAAGAAATGGTAATTGTCTTCTCACTGACATAATAACACAGGATAAAAATCCACACTTGTGTATTTGTGAAATTTATATGTTAAGAAATTACCCCGAGTCTTTTTACTCTACTACGAGCTCACCATAGCCCGTGCTACTTGGAACTGCTTGTTCCAAGTAGCGAATCTTTAACAACAACAACAACCGAGTCTTTAGCACTGACCAGAGTGCTTTGTCAAAGTCTGAGTTTGTTGAATTGAGTAGTCACACACTCACACCTGACAAAGCTCTCAGGAAAATGCTAAAAAGTATGATGTATATACATATAAATTTCACAAATACATAAGTGTGGGTTTTTCCTATCCAACCTATCTTATCATATTTAGGCTTTTATCCTATTTTCATCCTATTTTTATCCTGTTTTCTCATACAAAGAGCCCCGGCTTATTGTCTCAGCAGTTGAGCAAAAAAAACTCGGAAATGGATGACGTTGGAGAGGCATTTGCAGTGTAAGCATTGGTCAGAAAGACCAATAGTGTAGGGTATAGAGAGAAAGAGTGTAGGGACACCTGTGGTCTATTCCAATAGAAGGATTGTCAACAGTTGAGTCAATGAGAAGCAAAGGTTGAACATGTGTATCAGCATCAGACTCTCTGACCTGTGAACCAAGTAAATACCTGGATTATAACACTGATTCATACCATATTTTTCAGCTGAGTAAGTACTGATAAACTCACGAACCAATAGAAGACCTATTAGTTAATAGTGCACCTGTAACTACGCCAGACGCATTGATTCGCGGATATTAGAGACAACAGGAGTTGGCTAACTCAAAGGAACTTGCAGTTGTCCTCAGAAACAAGAGTATCAGAGCGAAACCCGCTGATATTATTTGGCAATACAAAAGGTAACCTTTTTTGTACGTTAGAAAATTTGGAACCTGGGTTTGGGGGGGTAAGTACCTCCACTCCGTCAGTTCTCTGACTTGTGTCCCTCTCTGACTTGCTTCATTCTCTCACCTGCATCCTTCCCTCACATGTGGGTGAGTGTAGTCAGGTGTATGAGCTATAAACTTTACCTTAGATTGTGGAATCATTCGACAGGTATCGTGTGACAAACATTACAAACAAGTCGGTACGTTTTCTTCATCTATTTCTCAAAATAGTAGTTTATTGATATAATTAGAGATAGAGTTTATCTCAGGTGATATAATAATTAAGTGGTAAATTATACCAATATATTTCCTGGTGCGCTATATTGCGATCTTGGAGCTCATTGGAAGAGTGATCATTAGTGTAATGCAGAATGAGGCGGAACTATAGGGTTATTAATCATTATTCCGTCACTTACAGGTTATTATGATGTAGGTTATCATATTGGTGTAAGGTGTTAACAAGCCAATAATATCAACAACTATTTAGGATCTATTGACATTTGTGACGAATAAAACTTTTTGGGAACTCATCATATTGTGCTCTATCATGTTGTTTGATTTTAACTATGCGTTTATCACCCTTTGTTACAATTACTAGTTTTAACTAGGATTATCCCTCAGGATATTTTGGGAAGGATGCAGCCTAATGAGACAGCTTCAGAAGTGAAATTCCCTACTTTCCCTCACTACCTATTCTCCCCCCCCCCCTCCTCCATCCAACTCTTTCCTCTCATCTCTCCCATTTTCAGCCGTTTCCCCAGCATCCCATCACTCCAATCTTCCTACCCTATCGCCCCACTCTTGATTACAACCTTGAACAGACGGACATTTCCATTTGTATATACAGACTAGCTGTACCCGCCA